TTAACATCTCCTTTGTATGATTTTCTTTTTATATAACTCCATTTTTTATAGTTGGCCAAGCTCTTTAAGCCACATTCAAATGATATGGAATTATTTTTCAGTCACCTAACAGAGGAGCTTCTTACCTTGGATTATAAAAATAGCCATTGATCCTCACTTTTTTGTATTGCCTCTCCCCACCCCTTTCTCCCAGACACATGTTCAAGTATCCTAGGGTCAGAGTAGAATTGTTTAGTGAAGGAACCAGGCAGAATGAAAACGGAATGTCAACTTTTTCTTAAAAAATGATCATAGCTAACTGTGTGCCAGACACTGTCCAGAGCACTTCACATGTTAATTCATATCATCCTCACAACAATCCTTTATGATAGTTTCTAATATTATCTCCATTTTAAAGAGGAGGAAACTGAGGCCTGTGCATGGTACAGCTAAGATTTGACCTGGGTATGATGGCTACTAAACGTACATTCTATCCATATTGAAATATTGCCTCTCATTGAATTATTTTTAACTTTATTAAATGGAAAAGAAGAGATGGTTAAGGGAACAAACCCTTATTTAACCAGTGTTTCCCAAAATATACTTCACTCTCAGATGGCTTACATCAGAATTTCCTGGGATGTCTCTTAAAATTGGAGATTCCTGGGCCTACCCTGACTTACTCAGAATGAAACCTTGAGGGAACTTGTCTTAGCAAGCATCCTACATGATTCTTAAACACAGTAAAGTATGTCCATCGCTGATGTTGATATATTAACATGTTAATTAGGCAAACAAAGACAAATTCACGATTACTTTGCATAAATACAGAGAGAATATCAGTCCGTCAGGAACTATTTGGCATTTATTAGTAGTTATCTTAAATTTCCTGTCCTATTAGAGAGGACAAGATAAATCTCTGAAGGCAAAGCTGAGACCAGTTTGAAGCAGAGCCTAGTGTGATCCCTGTACTTTTTGCTTCCTTGGTCTCTGTGCTTCACTCTTAGGACACTGCATTGTTGTGAGGATGAGCTGCAGGTGCAGACAGAAAGCAGGCTGTTGAAGACTGCAGAGGGGCAGAGAGAACAGAAAATACACAGCTGTGGGCAAAAGACACCTCTGAAGCACATGATTTCCTGTACTTTACACATAAATTCAATTGAGACCATTTAACTTAAGAAAGAATTCCCTCAGTAATATCGTTAGCAATTTGGGACTCTATCATTAAAAATTAGACAGATCTAGGGTTGTACGTAATGGTTCTGTATAGAGCAGAGGGGACTAGAGAACCTTTAAATGACCCTATTTTTTTTCTTAAAACTTCGGCTCCTCTGACAAGGTAAAATATTTTAAATTCTGAGAGGTACGCTTTTGACTTAAAGGGTTTTATTTTCAGAGATAGGCTATTTCTTTTCTCATTAATTTTACTTCTCTTTTACCTTAAAATTAATTTTAGAGTGACCTATATGGATGTTTATCACCATTAGTGACAATCATATCAATTGAGTGGAAACTTTGGTTTGGAATATGTATGCATTAACAGTATTCAAGTTAAAGAAGAAAATAATGTTAATGGTCCCCACCACAATGAGGTCAAAATAAATGAACAGCACTCATATTGCCCTTTAGGGCAATGGGAAAAATCCTTAGAGAGCTAAAAATGACTTCTTATTTATCGTTAGACCTGCATTTGAAATGCTTTAGTTTTACCCTTTTTTCCTGTGATAATTAACTTCATTGTTTGATCTCCTGAAATAGAAATAAATTTCTGCCTATGTTGAAGTCCTGGAGAGTTTATTTTAAAATAGGAGAGTCCCAAATCATTGTATCATTGCTAAGAATCAAAGTCCCCTAAATTAGTG